AAATTATTTAAATTGGATCATAGAAAGCTTGGATAATAATTTTTGAGCATATTATAACATTTATTTATAGTTTTCGTAATTTCTCATTCTTCTGTAATTCATTTTGAACATTTTTACTTTATAAAAACAGATATATTGGTTGTTTTCAATTGATTTATAAAATAATTCTATTTATTATGAAATTTTTGTGGTTAAAATTATAAAAATTTTTCTTTTTGAATTCTTTTAACGAAAATTTTTTAAGTTCGTATTTATTGATCACCACGCACGTGAAATTTGAGCCAATAAACAGACTTTAGCTATGGTTGATAAATGTGACAATGATCGACAGCCCACAGGTGAGACAAATCGGCCCATATGTTGGTTAAACTTACGATTAAAATTTTGATTGGTTCATATTACAAATAGATTTTTAATTAAATACCGAAAATTCTTTACAAGAATGCATACCTACTACCACTTTCCCAATACAATTTTAGAATATATATACTTTAAGTATATATTTTTTATATTTTATTAAATTTTTTTAAAACAATATCGATATATATGTGAAGTTTATATAAATTTCTATATGTATTTATTAAAACGTGATAATTCATTTCGACAAATTGATCGACAATAATGTCCGCATTCAGAACCTGCTTGTAACACGGATTTCTTGTTTCACCATTGTCAATATATGTGGTTAACAGGAATTTTATTAACCTTCATTGCTTTAAAATGTCAAAAGGAATTCGATTTATTGGTACATATCAAAAATTAAAGTTTTTAATTAAAGTCAAAGAGTTACTCTTTATAAGATTTATAATTATTTATTAATCAGATACTTAATTATTTTTTTAAAAAACAAGAAATTGGGGCAAATTTGACGGATTCTGTTTTTCGTGGAATTTATCGCGGTGTACGAGCCCATCCTGGTATTTTTCATTATACATGTTTAGAATCTTTTTATTCGTTCAACAACCTATCATCTTTTCATTTGATAAAATTAGATGATTTTACGCAAGTTTTACATCGTGCCAGAAATGCTGGTGTTGAAAAAATCATAGTAACTTCTGGAACTGTAAATGAAGCTCATGAAGCCTTGGAATTAGTAAAAAATCATGGTATGTAAGATCATGATCACAAATTCATATATTTAAATTTATTTCTAATAGATCTCTTATTTAAAGATGATCTTTATATGACCGTTGGTTGTCATCCAACGCGTTGTAATGAATTTGAACAAGATCTTGGAGGGCCAGATGAATACTATCAAAAACTTTTAAATTTTGCTACAAGTCGAGAATCTCAAGATAAAATTGTAGCAATTGGAGAATGTGGACTCGGCAAGAACGACATTCATTATTTTGATCATTTTTCCATTAGTTGATTGAATTGAACTTTTGTAACATTTTCTTTTGTGGATTAATAAAGATTATGATCGACTTCATTTTTGTCAAAAAGAAACACAATTGAAGTATGCTGCTAATCACCTTGAATCAATTATTTAATTTGATATGATATTGAAATTTATTAAACGCGTCTTTTAACATTTTAGATATTTTGAGCTTCAATTTGATTTGGCCGAAAAAACTGGACTTCCGATGTTTCTTCATAATCGTAATACTGGAAATGATTTTATGGATATCCTTCAAGTTTTTGATATAATTTGTGAATTTCAATTTTATCATCTTTAACTATGGATAAGAAAATACATTTGATTCAAAAGCATAGACATAGATTTGTAAATGGAGTTATGCATTCAATGACTTGTACAATGGAAGAAATGAAACGCGCTGTTTCTTTAGGTTTATATCTTGGGATTAATGGATGGTGAGAGATTTTAATTTTCGAGTTAAAATCTTTAAAGTTCGTCAATTAACAATTTTTGCCATTTAAAGTTCATTGAAGACACAAGAAAATCTTGAAGTGATAAAAAACGCGCCAATAGACAAGTTAATGATAGAAACCGGTAAAGTTGATTTAACAATTCCATTTTGTTATATGTCATTTACTCACTTTAAATCCCTTATTTATGCGACAAATTATAAGATGCCCCATGGTGTGATATTAGACCTACACATGCGTCATATAAATATTTAACCTTACCAGAAGAAAAAAAATTATTATATCAGCCTACAACGCGTAAAAAAGAAAAGTTCATTTTGAATAGTATGGTTAAAGGACGTAATGAACCTTGCTGTATTGGGTAAATCTTTATTGTTTTATTAATTTAACTTAAATGACTTTATATTACATTTAATGATTCATTATTTTATTTATATAATATTCAGACAAGTATTATATGTAATAGCTTCAATTCGTGGTGTTGATCCTGAGGAATTAGCTGAAGCAATATATGAGAATACAAGAAAAGTTTTTTTTTAAACGGTCACGTTTAGAATACATTTTTTTTTTCTTTTTTAATATTCTAGTTTATCGGTCGCCCGAGTCACGTTTAGAATACATTAGTTTTTTTTTTTTTTTTTTTTTTTTGAAGTGTGGCAGTTTTGCATGATCTTTATTAAATTTATATAATACTAGGTACATATAATAAAATAGAAAATACAAAAATATCTATAAATTAATTTATAAGTTAAACTACTTTATCAATACCAACCTTGCACTTTACCGAACTAAACTATAAACAGAAAAGAAAAGAAAAGAAACCTAAAACTAAACTAAACTATTATACAGTTATCAACCGTCCGGAAGGGAGGGCGTTGTTACTGCCATTCCAAAAATTTGACCAATGGGAGCCATAGGCGGTAGCCGCTAAAAAGGATGCAGGGTTTGATGTTGAGGGGAGAGGAAAGGAGTGTGGGAAACCTGAGGAGACCCAAGGGATAGTATAATCTTCTTCAATGCTATTAGCAATTTTCCATTCGTTTAGAGCAGCATTTCTTTTTATCCATATCTCATAACAAGATGTGGAAATATCATGATAAAGTGAAGATAAAAGGTCATGCAATATATTTTTTGCAGACAAACAAGCTGTCACTTTGTCTGATAGAGATAAAGGTATAATACCTTTAAATAAATTAAGGAACCAGTTGAGGTAGGTGACAAATTCCAGATAGAATCTGATGATATTTCTTGAACAAGTGAGTTATTGTTAAGAGTATTTAACTCTTTGAGGTGAGTGATAAATGTTGATTTATATGAAGCAACTAAATCTTGGATGTTTTATTCATTATTAAGATACAGCCACAGGTGCTCAAAATCTTCAGTTTGAGAGTGACAATGGAAATATCGTGGTGAAGTATATGTATTAGGGATTTGAGAGCGAATTACCTTTAAAGTAGGAAGCATTTGGAGTAACATTTTAATCTTAAATTTCTTTTTGAAGTAACCTATAAAGGATGTCTTACGAGAAGACTCTTCATCATTCAGAATTTTGAAAAAAAGAGAACAATCTATGAGTTTATCACAATATTTGATAAGGTAAGAAAGTGAGAGTAGGGAGTCTATCCAGACAACTTGCATTTTGTTTTTAATGAAGAGACAATGAGAAGCTATAATTGGAATGAAGTTGTGACAGAGGTAGTATTCTGAACCTAGATGTTTTTTGTTGATGAATAATGGTTGAACAGGGATTTGTTTTGCTAATTTATTAACAGCATAATTAAGAGGATCATCACTGTGAACTTGTATTTTAGTAAACGAAATAGAAATGTTATTTTGTGCAATGAGGCTAAATAATATTGATCAAATGTGAAAATAAGGTATTTTGAAAGCAGGATTGATAGACAAGAAGTCATAGAAAAGGAAGAAAGGTTTTTGAAAGGAGAGATAGTAGCTTATGAATTAGTACAAATTTCAATAATAGAATTTAAAGGTGAAGCATATATTGCAACTAAAATGACGACAATTTTAACAAGAGTGAAAGAGAGACTTTGTGATAAAAGTGTAGCATTGAAAGAAAGTGCAGGCCAATTTGAATTAGTTTATAATCACATAATATTTAATCAGTAATTTAAGGAATCTAAAAAGGTAAAGAAACTATCCGTATAAAATTGAAGAGAAGAAGCAGAAGTAAAATTAGATTTAAGAGTATCAAGTAATTTAATTGAATAAATGTCAAATAGCAAAATAGTTAAATTTGGTAAAGGCCTCGATGGATATTGATATAGATTAGTTAGTTTAAAAAGTGTGATCTCTTGTAGCATAAGATCAGAAAAGCTGAATCTTAATCCTATATGTTTGTTATACTGGATTTTGATTTCTATGTAAAATTGACTGGAAGCTTCATAGTACAGAAATTGGGAAAATTTTTTTGAACATTTGTGACAATTACTATAGGATCAAAAAGGTTACATCTGTTATAAAGATTGATATCTGCTCTGAAGTTTGAGTCATATGTAGCTATATAATATTATATATATATTATATCATTGATGATAACTCAAACTTTTCTAATTATATAAGTCAAAAATTAATTAGATCAAATAATCACAAAAGTGGGATTGTTATTATCATTTTCTTTTAATTAAATCGTTGTTAAAGGTAGATCACAAATTGATAGGTATAGTAGATAAGTTATCATTATATTCTTAAAGAAGGTGTTAGACAAAAATTAGAACTCTAAATTCTGAAACCAATTTGCATGTGATATATTTATAATTGAAAAGCCAATTGATATTAAAAGATGTAAAGAGATAACGCCTATCCATTAAGGTAAGTTAGTTTACAAATATAATTGAGAAAATGCAGATATTTTTTATAGACTTTCTGTATATATTGATAAGTAAAATAAATGAAATGGATAAAGAACCGCTCATGATTTGAAAGAGATCAAATATTCATCCAAATATTTTTCAAAAGTAAAACTATTTAATTTAGCTGCTGAGAGAAAGGCTAGCCACCAGTCTTTAAAATTAAAAGGATTATCATAGGGTCAACTAGTGATTGGTGATAGATGTAACTATTTTAGAAATTAAAGTTACATGATTCTCAGTCTAGCGATATTTCTAGTAGAGTGATATCATTGATCCTTTTTAACAAATCAGAAGATTTGGCTAACATTTATTTGTCATAAAGATAAGCTAAATTGTATTCAAAGGTGAAATAGATAATAAGAGCTGGTAAAGATTTGGTTAGATACAATTTGTTTTTGAAGAAGGCTCTAAAGAACGTCATCATTATATTGCGAAATATTGCTATTAAAAAGGTTAATTTCATTTTGTAAATGATTCAAGAAATAATTACAGAGTTGAAAACTGCAACAATTTGTTTTACTGTGAGCTGTTTCTTATCCAGCACATTTTTAACTTTTTTGAATTCTGTTAAGACTTAGTTTCTAATGTATGTTATATTATCAAAGAGTGATATCCAAACCCTAAAATAACAAGTGATGTCTTTATAGGAGAATAGTAAAAGTCAAATATTCTTATCATTAAATACGAAGTTAACAATGCTAAAGTCTTTGATATTCATCATCAGAACTGATTTATTCCAATTTACTTGAATACTATTTAAGATAAAGAACAAGTTCGCAATAGTTATTATATTTTAGAGATCTGCCTTAAAATCTGCTATTCAGAGGATATTATCTATATAAGCGAGTACTAGAACGTGATTTAAAAATTGATTGGTAGACCATTTAGTTATATCTTTCCTTCAATTAACATATTAAGTGTATCCTAATGATGAATTTTAAATTTTATATAATAGAGGATCATAATATATGCATCACAAAATGGATAAGATAATTTCTCCTTGATTTATTTCTGAAAGGACGTAATAGGCATCAGTATTACCATGAGCAGTAAAAATTTAATTGAATTATAAAGTAAAAATTGAAATTATGAGGTGAACAAAGGACATGGGAGATGTAATCTAAGTAAAGCCTGAATCAGCATTCTTAGATTAACTCTATCATATGCTTTCGATATGTCTTAAAAAAGAATTTAAAGATTATTATAGTAAAATAATATATCATATTTATTATTATCAAGAATGTTGATAGGTTCAAAAGTACTTCTAAAGGGGAAACCTGCAAAGTTGTTACCTTTTAGAATGTTGTATTTGGCTAGTATAGTGAAAAGTTTACTATTGATGAGCTTAATAAGAGTTTTTTTAAAATATTCTAATAAGGTAATTAGTCAGATAAATTTAGGTTAAATTTCTATAGTTTAGGTTTAGAAATTAGGTATATAAAAGCCAAATTTTATTTATAAGGTGTTAGGTTATAAGTTAGATACACTAGTCGAAATAGTCCAAATCAGCCTAAAATCAGATAGCCGATTTTAGGCTGATTTTGATACTATTTACGGCTGATTTATCATATTTTCTGATCGGTACAAACAGGTGCCGATAGATGCCGATCGACCCCAATCAGACATGGCTATTCAAATCTTAAATTCAACCATAAATCAGCCTAAAACTAGCCTCAATTCAGCAACAATTCAGATGCTGATAGATGCTGATTGGACATGGTCATTCAACCTAAAATTGACCTTAATTCAGCATCATTCGGCATCAATTCGGAACTTAAATAACCATAAATCAGCCTAAAATTGATCTCAATTCAGCATCA